TAAGGCCTACGATGCTCTACAGCAGCGAGTGTTGGCCCGTAAGTAAAGCCCATGAAAGACAGCTCCACTCCGCCGAAATGAGAATGCTGAGATGGGCCTGCGGCTGGACGCGACTGGATGATCAGGAATGAATACGTCAGGACGGTCATGCAACAGCTCCAGTTCAACTAAAGATGAGGGAGCAGCGATTACGATGGTTTGGACATGTCATAAGAAGACCACAGAGCCACCCGATAAAGAAGGCAATGGAGTTCGAGGCGCAAGGCAAGCGACCACGGGAGCCCCAAAAAAGAGATGGCGGGACGTGATCAAGAAGGATCTCGCCGAAGCCAAGGTGACGGCAGAAGATGCCGTAAATAGAATGAAATGGAGACGACTGATAAGAACAGCGGACCCTGCGACGGCGCGGGACTAACGCTAGGGAGAAGAAGAAGAAGAAGAATGCGCTTCCCCTACTATCGAATCTATGGTCCTTCTTAAGTGCGTCTGAAAGCATGCTGGAACTTTGAATGCTTTCACGCTTGAGAAACGTGATATTCTCAAAACTTTCCGGACACCATCATAGACGACAATTCTGGAGCAATGTGACATCTCTATCTCTAATGAGCACATCTCTGTCAACCATTCCATTAATCCCTTTTGGCTGATACTGAATTCATCCTGGATTTGATCACTAGAACAGGCGCAGAGAAATAAATTACAGCTTTCTTCGAAGTCCTCGGTTATTTAGACATAAAGCAATTATACCTTAGTCCATTAACCGCAAACGCTCCCGCTCCCCTCTGATTTCGAGTGTAGGCACTGAAAACAAGTGCAAGCTTGCTTAGTTTCAATCGAGATAAGCAATACCATCAAGTTTCGGTAAGACTACCACTCAATAGTGAAAGACCTGCTGCCCCACTTTCACTACTGACAGTTGCCATACCATGGAGTGGCAATGGATTGCAGTTTTTCGCGAAACAATAATAATCTCCCACCAATATTAGAACTTCTTCCACTTGTTTTTTTAGGGAAAGGTTCTGTTCGCTTCCGGTTCGCCATATGACGACGTTGAACACAATGGGAGGCTTTTCAAAGTTAGCCAAGGAAGCAACTCGTACGCCGTCCCAGGTGTTGCTCTTGCTGCCGTTTTATGGAAACCAAAGAAGATCTCGGAGACGGCTTTTCTAATTGCAGCCAGGGTAGAATTTTCGTTACTTATAGCATGGAACGTTACAAGTGTACTTTATTTAGACATCTGCAAGCGCAGTGACAGACGATGCATTAGAGAAATACGTCCGACTTTATCCGGAACTGGAAGATATCCGAGAGTTATCAGTGAAAGTAGCCGTTAATGTGAGTATCCTAATATATAGGGACGGAAGTGGTGTAGTGGCAAGTGACGCACTACCTCACACGCACTGTCGGGGATTCGAATCCCGGATCGATATCCGCTTAAGCCAATCAAGCCTTCCATCCTCCCCGGGTCGGTTAATTGGTACCAGACTTGTCTGGGAGGATAAAGCACTGTCTTGTACATCAGCTGGCCACCTAAAGTCAGTGCATAGGCCGCGTACGTTCTCATTACGCCACAGCGATTCTGAATGGAAGTCGAGTGCGGGGGCGCATAACTCAGACGGGATTGATTAACGCCAAAACCTTTATATTTATCCTTATCCTTACCCTACTATATACAATTCGCAAAGTGTCTTTTGGTTTGTCGGTGTGTTTGTGTGCTTGTGTGTGTGTGTCCGCGTGTGTGCTTGACCGGAAATTCATAACTCATTTCCCCGTGGATCTAGAGCGTTCAACTTGGTAGGTGTACGGAGGGCAGGATGGGAACACCTATGGTG